TGTAACGATGCAACTAGCGCTCTCATAAACTCTAGCAGACAATGTGCGAACTTTGGCCGGGGAATTATTACACGGTCATTAACGTAAATTAGCCTAAATTTCTGGTTGTGCAGAGAAATCTTTTAATTTTTAACCCATCAATACTTCATTCTTTCTTTTAAATTACCACTTAATGAACAATTTATTTTTCTGTAGATACTAAATTTGTTTTTATGAAATTAATATATTATAAGTATTGAATTATTTTAATAAAAAAAAACTTTATTATTATGCTATTAAAAAAAAAACTATAGATATATACTTATTCAGTAAAAAATATAAACATTTGAAAATAAAAACTGTAGGTATACATATTTTTATGATTTTCTGGTGGTGCCAAAATTTAAACTTGCATCACCACATATGAAATGTGGTGGTGCAACTGCTACATTTGCACCTCACCATTTACTCCACTGTTTACGACATAGGTTTTATATATTATAATATATTAGGTATATGGCTAAATTAAATATGTAGTGCAACTATTTACAATTGTATGATGGATAATAAAAAAAATCGAAAACCAATTGCTGTGTTTTAAATTGCAACAATTATTACAACAACGCAACAAATATTAAATTTCATAATTTTCTTAATCGGTCATACGAAAAAGAAACTAAAAATCGTTGCATTAAATAAATTAATCGAATTGAATAAGTATTTGAGTATTAAAGTTAATAAATATAATATAATATGTTTATGTCAAAGAACAAATTGATATTTAATTTTTTTGTAAGTATCCACGTATACCCTAGGCGTACGCATGGGGCAAGACGTTTTAATTATATTATTAACTTAAATTGTTTAAAATTAAAGTAATTTATGATTATACAAGTTTAAGGCACCTTGTCTTACAGTAATAATGTTTAGGTTTATTGTAGGTAAGCACCTACCTATTTTAAATTGTAAGTTCATTTTAGAACTTATGTATGTATTTTTCTAGTTTATTTTTTGATAAAAATATGCATTTATTTCTAACATTCCTACTTTTACTATTAGGCATAAACGGTTTCATTTGGCTAATATTGAATACCTAATAATAACAACAATGAAGAATAATAATATTGGTACAAATATTTTGTAAAATAGTAATTTAAGTGAACATATTATTTAAAACATGTTGGTAATTAAAATACAAAAATTCATAGTAACAGAATATTTTTTACATTTTATTTTTTGATATAAACATAATTCTATAAATCCTACACATTCGAACTAAATATCAAATGTTAATTAAAGGCCAGATGGTAAGCCATGTATTCCAACTAAGAATAGTGTCATATGCAGTGCACACTTCATTGGAAATAGAAGATCACCGGGATCTTAGGAGCCCTTCATATATCCCTACAATTTTTCCAAAATATTATAAAAAGAAATTCAGTAATCCTACATAAAAAATGTCTAGATATAACCGTGCCATAATTCGTGAAAACTTCAATTTTATTGAAAGTCAATTAAATAAACTTCATTTCAGACAATAATATTTTAAAATTAGGTTTTAATATGGACACATATTCAATGGAAACGAATGTTAAGCAAGCCGTACACGTTCCTGTTTGTCGGAGAAGCTGCACAGTTTTTCCGGAACGTATTTGTGACAAGTTTGCGCAGTTTTCGGGGACTGTACAGGTGGCCGGAAAAGAATCGAAAAACGATTCTTGTGGCTTGTGCAGTCATGACTATAGCGACATGACATACCGGAGCGTGTGTGTCGTGTGCTATCGAGTGACCAGCAAGTTCGGTTTGTTTGTGATGTGAATATAAATGGACTGTTTTTACCGGAGCATGTGTGGAGTCACGTCGTCGTCGTCGGAACTCGGGTAAAAAGAAAAGTTGTTCACAGGTAAGAAAAAAAAAATCATTGTAAAACAAGTATATTTCTCGCTTAGCTCAGAATCTAAAAGATGATGTGTAACATAGAGTTAAGTTTAGTTGGATAAAGTAGTGAAAAGCATCAGGTGTTTAATGGGACAAAACAATTAAAAATTTCGAAAGTCAGCATTTCGATATATGAAAAATTAAACCAAACAAATGGGGTGACAGCGCTCAGTGAATCTCCAGTATAAATCATAATACAGTAAAAAAAATATATATTGAATTCAATGAATCACATAGTAAATACATATTGTGTTGCATTTGTTTTTCCCTGTTACCTATCCGACGTGATTATGCAAAAAAAAAAATGTTCGGAACTTGAGTTTGAGCTTCCGATCTCTGAGATAACAACATATATGTACCACCACAGACATACTAATAGGCAATATTGAGTTATATAACATAACATATCTAATATCCGCATAATGTCAGAACTACAAAAAGATATAACATCGCAACTAAGTCAGTCCGCTTAATCCTGACTTCACTATTGTTCTTAAATCGGCAATATACCTACATATGTTGAAAACAAAAAAAGTTAAAAAACTAGCATGGACCAGTAACTAGATTTGTTTCTCATAATTTTTCACTCAAACGATTTTCGTTACGATTTGATATTAAAATTCCTTTAAAAAAAAAAAAAAAATCCTACACTAAGCTGAATTGAGGGGGTGGGTACGAGAAAGATATTTTCACGGAAATACCCTTTTTGCTTAAAATGTTTATTGGAACTCGACGACCTCTATACTATATGTATATACAATTTTATTTTGAAATTTTAATAATAGAACACTGTAGAAGCGTTTATGTGATTGTGTGTAAATACCTTTCTTCCGTAGAACCACATACTGTGTATCTTATATTTATAAACAATATCCTTTTATTTTTCAATGATTTAATAATAATATTATGGTAAATAATCTTGTTATTATTCGTTGTAGATTAATAAGTTTGGTAAAAAAACGTTTCTAAACTAAACTAAGCAATAAGGAATTAAGATAATATTTAAAATTAAAGGTAATAAACATAAAATTTGTATTTGTAATTTTATTTGTATTCTTAAAATTATTATTATTTATTTGTTTATTTATTAATATGTTCATATTGTTAAAAAATTATAAATGAATTAATAAAATTCTAGCTCATTTCATTCAGTTCAATCATTTAAATCGAAATAGAATAGGTAATTGTTTCTGTTTGATGCAAGAAGGTCATTTTCGTGACCAAATATCCATTTTATTTAAAACTTAGTGGACACAAAGAAAAACAAAATAAAGACATAATTATTTTCTTTAAGATTCGATCTTTCATACGACACAAATTGTATAACCATGTTAGCAAATTCAAAAGAGTGTCACACATATGAAACTTTAACTTCGTTTATCTCAAACCGCGTTTTTGTAGAAAATGCCTTTCTTGCACTTAGCCCCTCTAATTATTTTTTTTAACACAAGGTACGACTTTTAATGATTCTCATATTAAATTTTCAAGCATTTCTGTTTAGTCTAACAATTTTATCCATAGAGTACCTACCGAATAAAACTTACGTGCAAAACTCGCAAAACAAAAATGTCTACCAATAACTCAAAAAATGGCTAAAATTTTTTGACAATTTTACCACCTCCAGAAAAAGCAAATATAAGTTTTGTGAACAAATTTCAAGTCCATAAAGTCCATATGAATATTTTTTAATGAATTATAACAAAAAAAGAAAATTAAAAATAATAAAATCAGTATTTTCATAAATTGTCCAGTTTTTCTTAAGTTTTATCACGGGTTTTCTTAAATATTTAAAAACCGCTTGGAAAATTAAAAAATAATCTCCTTACAAATTATACAATATTTCTTTTCAGATAAAAATTGCCACACTTACATATCGAGGCAAGATTTTTGGTAGACATTTTCGTCATAATACAAAAAAAATAAATATCATTGTAAAACGAATTAGAAAAAAAAAAAATTATTTAAATAAGAAAAATGTATCGCTACTTCTAGAATGGGCAACTTCCCATCATCCCCTACCCCCTTCATCTCTGAAAGCTTCAGCGTCGTTCGGTTCGAATTTGACGTTTTATAATTGAAACGAAATGAAAGCAATAAGTGGTTTTATAATATATTTTATACATGTATTATTATTATTATTATTATTGCGTTTTTCTAGCAATATCAGGGAAAAAAACATAAAACATGTCCTACAGCAAACCGTATTTGTTTTGTTATATATTTCACCGGGTTATATTATATTCGTTGTGTTTGATGAATTTTCACCGTTCACCCGTCGAACTTAACAGATCCGCGGTTTCGTATTTGTGGGTAGCTCGCGCGTAATAAATCATGGGTTTGAAAATCACGTGAGTTTTTCACACATTGTAATTATAATCCTATCCCTTAATCTTTTAGTCTCTGTGGACCGATTTTATCCAGAATTGTCAATCATATTTCGATATGCTCACAGGCTCCCAGAAGCCTGTGCCTTAGCCTCTGGGTCTGATATTAATAATTACTTATATTTTTACACGTTAGATTTGATAATATTGTCTAAAACAACGTGTGAAACAAGTTAGAAAGTCATTTAGAATTTAAACCAACCGATTGAGTTTTAATGTCTTAGCTAGCCAAATTAACTTTTTCACTCAGTTCTAACTTCAAAAAGCAAAATAAGCTTTACGCATAACGTTCTCTATTAAATAATAAGTTATTGGCATTGATCACGATTAATTCGTATTTACCGCCAAAGTATAATATTGTTTCGAGTATCTACTTATTGCCTATATATCTCGGGCGATAAATCGTTAAAACGTGAACCACATATAAATAGGAACGTATATAATTATTTTATTAAAACAAACAGGTAGGTACTTGTATAAATACGAGTCTATATATATACGGTAGGTACCAAATAGGTACCTACCTAACTAACCGAGTTAAATTTACTCTGTAATATAGGTAAGTGTTTATGATGAAAATCTTTAACGGACGATAAATCAACACTCATAACATTCGTAAAAACAACAAACGCTTTAATTATACAAATCCGGTACCTACCTAGAGTGCGATTGTCAAAAATGTTACATTCGTCATACGAATGAGCGTTGACAAGGACTCTTGTAATAATAATATAATAATATTCTCTCATTCAGTTTCGAACTCCCAAACAAATCGGTCCGACGTTTATTTGTAAAGTTTAGTTGATTAATTTGTTATTATTTTTTTCTTCTATCTCAACATGGATTTAATATCTGATACGAATGAAAAATTGGTGAGTTAAACGTGTTTAGAAATAGCATGAACAGTAATGATAAAAAACGAATTTTTCCTTTTGTTTTAAGCATACCTAATTGCATTTTTTTTTTTTATAAGAATCGATTATTTTTAGTCCTGTTAAATAATTGTATTTTTTTTATCTTATACTACTTTTTTTTACTGTAATTAACGTTTCTTTTTAGATTTTGAGGAGAGCGAGAAATGTATTGGTTTTAAAATGATGGATATCTTTTTTTCTGAGAACAATTTTTCTACCAGAAATTTTGCTCCGATTTTTAAGTATTGCATTTTTTCTGATAAAAAATTTGATGGAAAAAAACAGAAAAAACGAGAAAATTGACGAAATGTATTATTTTCAAATAGTCAATAGCTGAAATATTTTTTTAGCCTTTCAAAAAATATCTCTGGATTTCGCTTAAAATGGCTTTTTATTAGCAATGATTAATCATTACGTACAAATATACATTAAATGTACCCTCTATCTTCCCAATTTTTTACCTACAAGGCTACAACAGTGACCCACTTATGGTACACAGTATGTCCTTTTGTTTTTTACCATTTATTTTACGTTGACAACAGGTTAGAAATTAATAAGGGATTATAGCAAATGTTTGGCATTCGGATAAGTAAGTTGATGCATAATTATATGAAAATCTTACTATATAAACTGTTATTGTAGAAGTTGTTTGATAGAAATTAAACGAGATAAGAAGTTAAAAATTAATTATTTTACTAATTACTATTATGTCAAATTAAAAATGAATAATACCTAAAGTTCCGTAAATTTTTTTTGTTTTTTTTTTTAAACTTATTTTGCAAATGAAAATAATTTAACCTAATGATTTTTTTTAAACGGAGCGAAAAAGCTTATGGTTTTACAAAAATGTTTAATTTTTTAATATTTTTTTTTTATCTGTTAACTACTTTTCTACCAGAAGACTTGATCGGATTTCTAAGCGTAGCACCTTTTCTGAAAGTAATTCAGTGCGGGAAAGTACTTTAAAAAGGTCGTTTTTCCATTTTCCCCGGAGTTTCTTAATAAATGAAAAAAAAACTGGAAAAACTGGGGAAATCGGTATAACGTTAAACAAATATTATTAAAGAAAATATATAGAGTATATTTAAATATTTTCCTATAATATAGCATATATATTTTTGACAAAGCATCACTATCAACTGACTTCCGCTCAGAATAGTTTTTTCATAAGCAATGGTTTATATTGTTGCATAGATTAAATTATTTTTAACAGTGCACCTGTCTCCATTATACTGTCATATCTTTTTAAAAATACGGATGATCAATGTTAAACATAAGGGGAGGAATTTTTCAAGGAATATCAAATTATATACTTATACTTATACTCGAAATTCCATGCACATTTTAATGATTGAAAAATAATTTAAAGATTTGAAATTTAGATTTCTATTAGACTCTTAGAAGAAATCGAAATTAACTTATGTTGTTATAGTTCCAAATTATCTCCAAATTTTTGATTCTGAATGAAACAAAAAATGTATTGTCTTTAATATTATGTGTTCTATTTTGTGTGTCTGGAAAAAACTTGCCTTAGTCAAAAACATTATTATAGAATTTTCAGTTTAGTTGGTGAATTGAAATCATTTTTATTAATTTGTCTTGTAGATATCTGAATAAATGGAAAAAACTGACAATATTAGTTAATTTATAAATTACATTGGAAACGAAAGAACACGATAATACGATTAATATTACTCCTACTAAATCCTAAATCCTAAATCCTACTAGAATCCTACTAAATTTACATTTTCCTATGGTAAAGGCTATTTTGTTTGCCAAAAGATGTATGAGGTAATTAAAATTTAAAAAAAAATAATAATTTTTTTTTAAAAACGCCGTTACAGCTAGTGACGTGTAGTGAAGTATAAAAATTCGATATTAGAAACGTCGAACATTTATAACAATATATTTGATTGTTTTATCACCTGTTCTAATTCTCACGATCATATTGAACGACTTTTCAATTTTTTTTTTACACCATATGATAATTTTTTTTTCCACGCGTATCTTCGTCACTATAATTGAATACAAACAATAATATAATTAAAATGGATTAATTTCAACAGTAATCCATTTTACTGGCACTCTTCTAATTTAGAAACGGTTCTATAATAACTATGTAAATTTCATACACCACGCAGACAATGTAATCAATATACAAATTCAAAACTCGATATTTCTGGTATATGTATACAGGGTGTTCCACGCGAAGATATACTCATTACTATAGCTCCGGAAATAATAAAGAAAATATAATTATGTTTTTTTTTTTTTTTTAAATTACTTATGCTTACTTTATACTATTAAGATATTGACTGTGATATACTTGATGGTGAATTTTTAATTCGAAACCAGTCGAATAATACACTTATCATAATACTCTGGCAACGCATTTATTCATTTTTTTGTTTTTTTTTTTTCCTAGTATATCAATTTTGTATTCATATATTTATTTACTATACTTATACATAAACTAAAATTGTACGTTTTATTTAAAAACAAACTAAAATAATTACTTTTTATTTTATTATTTTTAAACAATTTGAAGATTTTATTTTTCATTTTATAGAGTTTATTAATATTCTTTTAAAAATGTCAATTTTTTATTTTCATTAAATTTATGATTTTTAATAAGTTTTTAAAGTTTGGAGAAAAAATTATATTGTCAATTAGTCTTAAAAATAATAAGCAATTAGTGAATGCAATTACAGCCTATTGCATAATTATTTGTACGGTTCTCTGCCAAAACATACAAATTTAATTCAAATATAAATATTTGTAGTCCTTATCCTTCCGGGTAATACAAAATAAAAGAAAAAAAAAAATGTTAATACAACTGTTATCTCAGGAGATATTGTAAATAGTGTATCTTCGTCGAACATCCTGTATATACGCGAACGATTTGGTAAATTTTACAATTATCATGAAATTTTAAACTTAAAACATGGATAAAACTGCTACATCATTACTTTCAAAAATTTTAAAAACGCATCATGTGTAGTAAAATTAGTTGATTCCTCTCTACGCTCAGAATCTAAAATTATGACGTGCAGTTTTTTTGATAGAATAATTTGATATTAATATATCATATAAATATTATTTAACTTTATGAATTTATAATTGCTAAAAACAAAGCTCATTATAAAAATGTCCGTCTCGGTGTTCGTAATATTTTGAAAATCACTTCTTTTAATTATTATTATTTTCGGTAGACCGCATATTTTAAACAATTATAATCATATAGGTTGTGTGTGTGTGTGTGTATGTGTATGCATATAACAACTTTGAAACTCCTTGACCTTATGTGATTGTATACAAAAGTACTATAAGATCTGAGGTAGGACCTTTTTATTTACAATAAGGTATGAGACAATGCGTATGACTACCGTTCGGATTGACAACGTCGTATTTTTTTAGTCAAATGATTGTATTTTGGCTTAAACACTGTGACAATAATGCAATCCTTCTATCAGTTTAATACAATTTTTTAGGAATGTATTGGTTTTAAAATCATATTTATTATTATTTTTTTTTTTTATTTTTTATATGAACAACTTTGTACAAGAAATTTCGCTCCGAATTTTAAGTTTATGGAAGTAAGTTTGACTGGGATGGTACTTTAAAGAGGTTATTTTTTGAGTTTCAATGTGGTATTCAAAATAATTGGGAAAAACCGAAAAAAACGTAGAACGGGGAAATTTACGAAAATAATTATATTATTATTTCGAATTTTTTTTTTTTGTTGTTGTTATTTAGTTTAAAATAATTTTAGAGACTTGAAATTAAGACAGAAACTTTAAATTTGTCTTTTTTAGACTTGGTAAAATTTTCAAATTATTTTTGAACTTTTTATAAACATTTTAATTTTGCGAGTTTTTAACGTATTTTTTATTCAGTAGGTATTCTGTAGATACAATTTATTGTTAAACCAAACAGAAAGGCTTGAACATTTGACAGGAGGTTCAATACAAGTCGTACTTAGTAGACAACAAGAAAAAAATTGAGTTTGTAGTATATTTCTTTTTAAAAATTTAAATTTTAATCGTGAATATTATGGCTTTTTAAAACATGTTTAATCGAACTCCACTCAAAATCGTTTTTCGTCATTCATCGCAGTGTACAGTTATAAATTAAATTCCTAACTATATATGTATTCTAACTTCTCAATTTCTCATTTACAACAATTGCCCAACCATCGTACGAAACATGTCCATCTTTTTTTTTTATTTATATTTATTTTAAGCTAATGTATTAAGAGAACGTTGTACTCACACGTGCAGTCTCCTAACGACGTCCTCTTGACGACAAATAATATTTTTATATATGTATATATATATTAAAATAATAACCTATAATAACAAAAGAGATCAGTGGCGTATAATATACGCTACACAAAAATCCTACATTGTAGGATTTTTTTTAAAAAATGAGTCATAAAATAATTATTTTGAAGCTCAATTTTTCCTTAAAAAAAGTCCATTATATAACAGTAAGCTATACAATGTTAGCGGGTCTTACCCGCTTCACGGAAATGGTCCTATTTTTATTTAACTATTAGTATTGTGTAGTAACGCTCACAGGAGAACAAAATGGATAAACATCAGTATATATGAAACTGTTGAATGAGGCGATTAATAATTAATTTATAACAGATTGCAGAACTCTAGATCTATACTAGTTATAGTCTTTTTAGAAAAAAAAAAACATGATAGGGGATTTATCCCCCATAACCCTACCTTGTAAATACGCCACTGCATATTGCTATAATAATATCCAACAATTGAATTTTCGTTGCCGATTGTCCATGTCATGGGGTGCGATAAATAACATTGTATTTTTACCCACGAATTCCCCGTATTATTATTATTAAATTAAACAGTTTTCTTTAAATTAGATCAGTACCAAATATGTGCTCAGTCTTCCGATAAGAATATTAAAATATAGTAACGTTGCAAATAAAAAATAAAATAATAATAATCACATGCATTCTTAATCGTAATTGTATTTTTCCGATTCGTATTAATATTATTTTCCGATCTGAATCAATCACAATAGACGTAGAACGGTTATACGCACACCAAAATCGAAAAAAGAAAACATTTTTAATGTATTCGTATTGTTAAAAGTACCGTTTATCAATGTTCCGGTAGATTGTGAATTTCAGAAAGAAACCCGCAGCAGCACTATAGAAGCGTTAATTTTACTTTATGTCGTCTACACAATATCCATTAATCTGCAGCATATACACAAACGTACATAATATTATTGTTCTGATTATATGAATAGAAGATTTGCTCGTAAATTGGTATACCAACCTACCGCAATAATAACTCGCGGTTCCAAAGAATATCTAATTTGGTGGCTTCGACGCTTTAATTCGCGCGGTCTTACACCGGGCTGTATGTAGCAAAAACATCTCGGGATGTTGCAACGGAATTGCGTAATTTTATTATACTTCCTTGTTTGTTTAACGGTATAATTATTATTATTGTTAAAGTATAGGCAACGAATTCGTAATTCATTGCATTTCAGTGTACGTTTTCGCTTTTTAGTATGTACACAGTACATACATATTGCGTAAATTCGTTTACATAATACACTTATAAACGCGGTGCTTCATAATCAATTAAAAAAGCCAATGTTATTATACAATTATTAGTTCCGAGTGTATAACGGCGAACAAACTATTAATTTTTCATGGTTAAATTTTTTTTTTTATTTTTTCGAACACTTTTGGTCAGTAAAAAAATGCTCCTCCGACTTATAGATTCCGTGTTAAGCCATAAGTGTGTTAATTTTACTATGAAATAATTTTGTGTGTTTGTATTGTATAAACAACTTTTTAACCCAAAATTTTCATTCAAAAACTTTATAGGAACTTTCATGTAATATTTTTGGTCTAGATAATGCATTATTTTTTGATTTTCTTAGTAGTTTTCCTAATAGAATGGAAAAGCTAGCAATTTAGTGGAAAATTCTTATTGATTTATGGGTTACCTTGGCAACAACGGAAAAATACGATTAGTAAAAAAAGACTAACATACTTCGCACGTGGGTATAGCCACTATTGGGAAGGTAGGATACAGAAAGAAATTTATTGTATGTCTGTAAGCAACGATAAACCATTGCTATAGAAAAAAAAACGATTCTGAGCCAAGTTCAGTTGATAATGTTGCTTTGTCAAAAATATATAATATGTCATATTACTGTAAAATGATTACAACAATCTGAGTTTTCATGGTAACAAAGATTGAATAAAAACTATTTTAAAATAATAAAGCTTAATAATAACAAAAATAAATAAAAACGATTACCAATGACAACTTTATTTTTAATCGTTCAATCTTTTTCAACCTAAAGATCGAAGTTTTCCTCATTATTTCGAATATTAACAAGAATTTCAAAAAATGACCTTTTCAATGTACCAGAAAAAATTTCCTTTCAGGAAAGGTGTATATTTGATAATCGGAGTAAGCATTCTGGTAGAAAGAGTTCACCAAAAAAAAAAAATAAACATCATTGTAAAACTTATACATTTTTCTCTCCGCTCAGAATCGTTTTTTATTAGAAGTGGTTTATCGTAGCATACAGATCTCTATATCTAATGTACTCGTATAGCAATTGCATTAGCATTCAGACAAAAAAAACTTCTCTATAATTTAATTCATAGACGTGACAAATTTAAATATTGTAGGTATATAATTATATTAAAATCATAATAATCATTTTTTGAAAGTCATTCATGTAACAATGTTAAAATAATTATATTATGATTCCGTCGAATTAATTAATACTAAATTTTACGTTTTTGAATTTATTTTCGTGGCCACCATTGGTCGTCGTTAATCTATATATAATAATTTTTATTATAACTTTTCCTTGGTATAATATTATGAGATATTAAACTGTTCTGAAATAATTAGTAAATAAACACAAATGTTCAATCAGTAAAATTGGTACAATATTAATATTTCGATAATGTCGATTAAGTGAATTTAGGATGTACTTGAAATATAAACTACATAATTGCCTTTTAAATCCGGAGTGTAGCGAAGATCTATTCGTTTTACTATAGTGTGTGCTTTTTTTCTGTCTGTGTGTTGTAAACAACTTTTCGAAAAAAAATCTTTTTTAATTTTTTTAATTTAATTGCAACATTACAAATGTTATTTTTTAATTTTCTAAGTGGTTTTTAAAATAATAGCGGAAAACCCAAAAGAAAATTATTGGTAAAATGGTAAATATTTAAGGCACACTGCCGCGGAGTTACCGATTTAATTGTTTAAATTTTTACGCACGATGTTCTCTACCAGAAATATTGCTCCAATAGAAAACCAACAACAAATTTTTTATTATCTTATTAGTGTGTAAGAAAGTCTTTTTTTTTTTATTTATTTATTTTTTTTTTTTTTTGAGCTATTTTTAGACATTTTAATTTTTTCGAGTTTTTACATAATTTTTATTTGGTAAATATTCTATGAATAAAATTACAATTGCAAGAAATGCTTGAACATTTCATAGAACGTTCATTATAAGTCACACTTGGAAGTCGAAAATAAAGTTGAGTGTAATGTAATTTTTTTCTTTTCTATACGAGTTTTAGTATCAAATTTGACGAAAATCGTAAATATATGGCCTTTCAAAAGAAAATATTTCACTTTCAGAAAAGATGGTATACTTGATATTTAGATTAAGCTTTCTGGTTGTCTTCAAATAAAAAAAAATAATAATAAATGCTATTGTAAATTAATACGTTCCTTTCTCCACTTAAAATCTAAAATGCTACATGACAGTTCTTATAAACTGTTTAATTGAAACAATTTTTCATATAGAAAAGTTGTTTACGGACACAAAAAAAAACCCACCATAGTAAAACATTCCTTACTTCACCTAGAATTTAATATATATTATGTTGATTTTCCAGTTATAAATTGTATTATTGATAATAAAAGCACGGTCGGATCTTTAGTCGTTGCAGTAAATAAAAGTAATAACTGGCGTCTACAGCAATATAATAAAGTGCACAATGAAAAATAATATGAAATAAAATATCAACGAACAGGTCTCTATTTTATTATACAGTATGTTGCACTCAAATGCGAGGTTAAAAATACGAGATATTTCAATTGGACGCAGGGACTTGAATTGAAATAGATTTTTTTATTTTAGAATGGTTAGATGTATCGAAAATTTCACATTGTGAGACTATATTCAAAAATTTAATCCTTGTGTCACGCACGTGCGCAATAAAAAAAACACACGTGAGAGGGTCATTTTTATAAGGGAAAAGTTGGGAAGATAAGGGAGGGAGAATTGAATGTGTACCTGTAAGCAACGATAAATCATTGCTAACGGAAAAACGATTCTGAGCGGAATTCAGTTATTGTGTTACTTTGTCAACAATATATTTATCGTATTATGGTAAAACAAATTACATAGGCATTGTATATTTTTTTTAATAATATCTGTTTAATATTTTACCTATTTTCCGTTTTTTCCTACGTTTTTCTCGGTTTTCCCATGTTTTTACCTAGTTTTTCCAATTTATCAGCTAACTCCTGGAATCAAAAATTTACCTGCTTATAATATCTTCCCAGTACGATTTCCTTTCAGAAAAGATGCTACACTTAAAAGTCTAAGCAAGAATTCTAGGAAAAAAAGTTGTCTACAAAAAAAAAATATACATATAAACATCATTGTAAATCCATAAGCTTCTTTGCTCCACTCATAATTCAAAATCAGTTTTCAATGAACTTTACAATTTTATTCTGTCTAGAAAACTATCTAATATACAGTAATTTACAGGTATTATTTTAAATACGATTTTTCAAAAAAATTAAAATGCATACAACTTTCAATGTTAAATAATTTTACTACTTGTTATGTAGGAAAAAGTATAAGTAAAGATAATGACATAATTACACATACCTAATATCATTAAACATTTTTAATTATTTAAAAACCATGGTTTCAATATAATACATTTCGGATGGCTGCGTCACTAGAAGTTTTTGAGATTTAATAAAAAGATTTATCAATCAAAATTTTTGAAGAAAAATGTAAGTTTTATCGTATTGTTTTCAAAATGCATATTTTGGAACCACTGTTCTTGCTAAAAAACACAAACCTATCTTTAAATATATAATACAGTATTATAGTTCTATGTTATACAACAACTTATGTGCCTATTATTTATATTTATATTTTACCCGATATCGTTTTGTTTTTTTTTTCAGAAATATCCTAAGTGCGTGTGGTTCATAGTGCTCAACGAGCTATGTGAACGATTTAGCTATTACGGATTAAGAAGTAATAATATATCAACTATTGATTAGTGATTAACACGTGTTAATCTAAACCGATGACATATAAAGAGTGATCAATATAACGAAGACACTCATTATCATTGAAAGCATTCAATTTGTTTAGAATTAAAATTTTTAGAATATTGTGGAAACAAGCAACTCTTTTCTATTAAATTTCTATTAAGAATATAACTAAGTATTGCATTTTTAATAGTACTTTTTTTTTTTAGTAGAGATACCACTAACCATTTTTAATTTTTAAAAAATTAACAATTTCAAAAATATATTCAGTTTTAATTTAAACAAATTTAGGTTTTAACATTTAAAACTCCGTCAACCAGTTGACGAGATATCTATTCTACTTTTAAGCTTAATGTTTTGTAAGTAGGGAACAAGTAGTTTGAAGTGCAATATTTGAATAGTGAACCACTTATGCTTCCTCAAACCACAAAACGAAAAACTTAATTTTGGAATATCTCATCGACAAATTGATGGAAATTAAAAATTTCAACACCAAAATGTATTTAAATTAAAATTTCATCTAGGTATTTCTAAAATAAATTTCTTATATAGGTTGCTATTTGAAAATCAAAAGTAATCAGTGGTTTCAATTCTAAAATATGTTAATACTTTCCGAGATAATGAGTGTCTTACGTTATATTGATTATCCAGTATAATAAAATAATACGCCGCGATGATGAAATGATATTTTCAGCGGTATTAGTGCTGTACCTGACGACCATATTGAAGTTCAATGGCGACGAGTCTACAATAATATTCCACAGTTTTGTGTTCATGGCTTACTTTATGCCTTTGATCGGTGCGACAATGGCTGACTCGTATTTAGGAAAATTCCAGTACAGTACAAAAAGTTGTTTTCCGATGGTATTTTTCAGCCTTAATGCGCGATAATATTATTTTTTTGTGTTTAGGACGATAATATGGTTTTCAATTGTGTACGCGTTAGGAAACGTAGTGCTCACCGGCGCTTCCTCTGCGACAGACATTTTCAGCATTAACGTCCAAAAGTAAATAATTTAACTATAATATGATAGTTTAAAATAAAAAACGATTAATAACGTGTATATTATATATACACGTAATACATCACATGCGTTAATTTCTACCGATCCGCGAATCGCGTGATTTAATGGGAAAACGTTGGAACGCTTGTAAAATTATCATCGAAATTATATCTACGTATATGCTTATTATGCTGTAGCATACTTGAATGAAGAATTTTCAAGATCACGGTTTTCAAAAATGCAAATGGGTTTCACATATATTCCTATACATCAGAACACGATGGGTTTGATCTCCTTGATTCTCCCTGTAAATAGCCTACTGAATAAACCCGGTTTTCATACAGCTAGTTTGCAGCATAAGTGGCGACTATCCTCAAAAAATATATGTTACTGAGGATATGTTTGACTTTCTGAGGGCCCACCCATCACTTGCCGTCATACTAATATATTATGTAGTATTTAAGTTATAGATTCCTACCTAAGTATATATATTTGTACTTCGTTCCACTAGAGAACACAGCTGGGCGCCAACCAAAACTCTGCGCATTCCCACCACTAAAGCAGTCCGAATACGAATACTGGTAGACGAGTGGCGGGAAAATTAATTCAATAGCACATGCAAGCTAATTGCATTCTCTCGTGGGACGGAGTATAGTAAAAACAATAAAAAAAAACTGACCATCATTATATTCTTATAAATCTAATTAGGTTCACGTAATACCAAATAATGTTACCAACCCACCCGAAAAATTATGTATTTGATGCTGAGCAACAAATCATAGACAATATTATTATAGGATAGCTGCCACAGACTAGTTTTCTAACACACCTTGCCACACGTTACGTTTGTAATTTAAAAAATGTTTCTCGATGTGTTTCCGCAACATTACAGAGTCATCGCTATACTTGGGTTGTTTCTCATATCCGTCGGTACGGGCGGGATAAAACCGTGCGTTTTCCCGTTCGGCGGCGACCAGTTTCGGTTGCCCGAGCAAACCGATCAATTGCTGCACTACACCACCAAGTTCACGATCGCCATTAACCTGGGTTCGTTGGTATCCACGTTTCTGACGCCCGAGCTACGACACAGCGTACATTGTTTTGGCAGGGACACGTGTTTTCCACTGGCGTTTGGCGTGCCGGCCATCCTGATGTTCATAGCTATAGGTAAAACAATAACAAAACAATATATTAGGCGAAGCATTTAAAACACGCTATTACTAAATATAATAAAGAATAAATGTAGTTGACAGTCCCTCCATCACTCGAAGTTTGGTTTTCGGGCTTTACCCGTTTGCGTACATTTGCCCTTTTTGCGACTTGTTTGAGTACAACACTAACTTTTAGTATCTGCACTAAAATGGCACAAACATAGAGCTCGTTTGAGTACATGAATTAGATATAACCAAACTCTACTCAACCAAACTGTCCACTGTAAATTTTTATATACATTTTTTAATGGTACATCTAAACCATGGGTTCTTACCCTTATTTTTTTAAATATAGTGGTCTAATTTGGAAATTTTATTTTAATAATAGTACGTAAGTAATTTTTCATTTTTCGGGTTTTTATTACTTTCGTTGTACGCAAACGAATATCACTCGGTTTTTCCTATCGTTTATATTCGCGTTTTATGAGTAACTTTAACAAAATGTGCATAATTGATCAACTAAAGAAAGAGAGGAGAGAGAGAGAGAGAGAGGGAGAGAGAAACCTAGAATTTTGTCTTGTTTCTCTCTCTCTCTCTCTTCTACCTTAACAACTCTTCAAGCGAGCATTCGGAACATTAAAAATATAATCGTGAATCGTGATCATGAATAATTTAGCAAACAGAATCACTAAAACTGAACGTATATAAGTATTAAGCACCATAATAGCGGTCACGGAGATCGATGTAATTTTTAATTTATGTGTAGTAAAATGGTTTTATTATAACTAATAATAAAAGAAAAATAAGTTTTCGAGGAAGATTTAAGTCCTAAATAATTATTTTTTTATAGTTTTGTGGGCATGCATAAAAAATAGAATAATAAACAAACAATATGTGGCCTAATATATAGTTTATATCCTTTCTCTGAAAACATCTGAGTTTACGTGCAGTGCTTTTACGCTAATTAGTATTAATAACAGTAGGTATACTAAAATATTGTTGAAAGTTAAGCGACCTTCTCTTTATACGGGCGCCTCAACTTTAATTATATTTGTATTATTATAATAATGTATATAACGGATATTATTATATTAAAGTGTCAGATAATTCGATTTTATTGAGTTTGTCAGCTTACCATATTATTATAATTGACAATGTAAAATCAACCAGGCTTGTAGTTGACAGTTTCATAACTCGTTTTAAACTTAAAAAAGAGCGTTCTGTCCTGTATATGAACGACACTTTGCGGTTGTTATTGATGAAATATCCTTTGTCGGTATTTCGAAATTTTAAATTTGATAATAATAATAATGTAATGTACTTATTTTGAAAAACATTTATAACAAACCTAAAGTTGATTGTACTAAATAAACCATTTTTTAAAACGACACGGCTCTTAACATTGTTTTGCATAGCGTTTTTCGTTGCCGGAAAGAACACGTACTTGAAGAAGAAACCGGAACATAACGCCATCTCCAGGACATTCAGTTGTATATTCGTAAGTAGATTTTATTGTTACCCATTCAAAGTATGAGATGTTGAAACTTTTCCCGAAAATACGAAATCGAGAAAAAAAAATTAGATTATACCAAATTAAATAGACACCTAAAATAACTATTGGTTCGAACCTAATACTCTTCTAGTAGGAAGTATTTGTCCAAAGTGTAAACCTAAAACCGGTTTGATGAAAAACTGAAACGGATTTAGGATAAAGCAGAGAGTTGAATATAAAATCGATATCGAGCTGGTCACAGGATGAACAAGTTTTTGTTATCTCCGGGAAAAGTGCAATTCGGATCTCTCAAAATATATAACCTATATAATTTTATGATCAAATTGTGTCATAGTAATTCTGTCATTCTACTCATTCCGCCTTAGCTGTATATTAGTTTTCTTTAATATTTGTTTGTTTGAAGTACGCACTCCGTAAGAAGTTGACCTCGTCAGTCCCATACCAGACCCATTGGCTTGACAATGCTAAGGGTGTGTACACCGATACCGAGATTTCAGAAACTAGAATGGCTCTCAATTTGATCATCACCTTTGCAGCGTACCCAGTGTTTTGGGCTCTGTACGAGCAACAGGTGAGTGAAATCAGTTAGTCATATCAGTGTTTACGCATCAAATATGTATATATATATATTGTTTAAAAATAAACACTGTTGTTGTAAATCGTATTTATCTATATATGTTTCTGGCAGGGTTCCCGGTGGACATTGCAAGGGACACTGATGAACGGCCGGGTGGACTATCTGGACTGGACCATCAAGCCCGACCAAATGCAGACACTTGTACCGTTTTTCGGCATGATATTCCTGGTTCTCTTCGACGTGGCCCTGTACCCGATGCTCGCCATGGTCGGCATTAGGAAGCCATTGCAAAAGCTCACACTCAGCGGTTTTCTTGCTGTCGTGGCGTTCGTGTTCGCAGCCCTGCTGCAGCTCAAAATATTTGTAACAACTATATTATTATATATGCATAGTTCGTCGAGTGACGTACTATATATCAATTCAATTGGAAATTATTTTTTTTTAATTTCCCGTCAATCTATTCTATCCATATATAGGGAAACACCATCGAAATACCACCAGGTGAAGGACGTCTGAACATCTATAACGCATTTGATTGTAACGCATTCGTACGTTCGCCTTCGTTGGAAGTACACCAGATTGGACCGCTCGACAAAATCAACGTTAGCTACACACCCGTATCGCGAGAAACCACGGTTAGAATCGAGATACGATTCGACCCGGCATGTCCTTTTGTGCCCGAAAATTTTCAACTTAACACCACCTTCACTGTCACCGAAGCACAGGTAAAAAACGTCATGAATGTATTCCAAAAAGCCAGAGCAAACATAACCCGTAAAATACATTTTTATTTTTACCGAAAAGAAAAAATTAGATACTAAATGTGTGGATCAAAACCGAAACCTTTAATATAACGTTATTATTATATGCGTATCAAAATTCAAAATATTGTATTTTAAATTGTTTTACTATTCTACTTAGGTACCCAAATACACTAAAAGTTTGAGTATGTACTAAATTTTCGACTCTTTTATACCTACCTATGATTTGGCCAATATTTATTAGGTTAATTTATAAAGGTTGAAGTGTTAGGTGAATCAGGGTATTTTCGAGATAAATTATGACATTTGAAAAGCAATTCCAAGTATAGAGAATCATGATTTACGTCAAAATGATAAACTGTAAAAAGTATTAAAGAAAAAAACCATAAATAATGTAAAACTATACACTATTATAGATCTGCTAAGAATCTAAAAAATCTAATCATATTAAATAGACATAAAATATATGTTACACGTTAGTATAAAAAAATATGTACCTATATCATTTTTCTTAATGCCTAGCGTTGTGTTATTTTATTTACACTGACGTGTGATATAATAAAAAATAGATTAAATCCAAAAATGAGCGCGGCAAATCTTATTATAATCAAACTCCATTTAAATGTCATCAGAACCGCGCGCTATGTCGTGATAAATGACGAAAACAACCACCTGGGATTTTTAATAATATCGCATCCTCCCTGATGCGTAACTCGTCCGCCACCACGGCATAACATTATTATATAATGTCTAGTAAAATAATATAATAAATAATATTTATACGTTTTAGCTGCAAAATGTCGACATCCCCGTATCCAGCACCACGATCGCGGCATGACAGTGTATAATGTCTTAATCAACAATTTTAATATTTTTATATATACCTATGTAAAATGGCCCCTATTCTTTAGCCACGCATAATTATAAATGAAGTGAATCAATTAACTTCTTGTTTTTACCAAAACACTACAAATTTTACTGCGAGATCTGTTTTATTTTTAAGTTTCACGCAAATTAGTTCAATTTATTAGAAGTTATAAAGCAAAATAATATTAAGAGCGTTTACTAAAAAAAATTATAATGATATATTTAGTTTCCGTGGTACACTCGTACCTGCAAGAGTTGAAAATGTCTGGTGGTTATTTCTCTATGAAAGAGTATCGGTAACCATCGGAATTTCGTTAAGGCACTCTCATTGTCTCGCTCCTTTGCCATGACTCAACTTTATTTACTTGCTGCAATACCTTGATATTTAAATTGTAAAAAAATAGCCCTGTTTGATTAACATCAAATGACTTGAATGTAAAAAGATACGTTGGCCCAACGGTGGCAAAAATATTTACATACATAGTCATAAAGGAAAAACCACGCATTAATTATTTACTTGTGTCTGATATTTATAATACAAGTAACTATCAATTTCATTACAAATTGTACGGAATTTAGATCAATTAATAAATTAATTAAGAGTAATTTAAAAAAAACACTATAAAATATTGCTATTTCTCAATCATTAAAAAAAACTAGAATAAAAATTAATAAATGATTTTATTGTTAAACAATAAGAAAATGCAACAATAAGGTCCCTTGACGTTTTTCTATTGGAGCAAACGGACATACTTCACTCGATGGGTGGGCCACTGTTGTAGATGAGAAATTGAGTAGGTAGAGAGGAAATTTAATGTATATCTGTACACAGAATATAATCATTGCTAACGAAAAACGATTTTGAGATGAGTTCGGTTTTACATGTTTTGAAAGGCATAATATTTACAATTTGAAAATAATACATTTCGTACATTTTCCCATTTTTCCTAAGTTTTTTCCCGATTTTCACCATTTATTAGAAAAACATTATTGTAAAAGTAATATTCCTAGCTCTGCTCATTCTAAAATTTAAATTAATAGTGTCATGCGTTGTAAATTTATCAGTTTTTATTCTACGTCTTCTTGCAATTCTTCCCAATTATCATGAAAACTGCTTTAAAAATTAAAAATAATGTATTTCTTTAGATACTAGATCTAAAATGTAACAAAAAAGGTATCCTGATATTTTCCAATTGGAGTAAGTTTTCTTTTAAAAAAGTTGCTTACAGATACAAAAAAGAAATTTAACAAAACCAATCACACATTATAAAACTAGTGGATACCTCGCTACGCTCCGAATTTAAAAAAACATACTGGACCTCCTCAACTACCAATTATTAGGTATCTCGCGTTCAGTACTATAAAGCTTTGATCGATTCAAATTCAAATTTTTGAAGCCATCAAGCAAATTCAAATTTTCGATTTACTTGATGGGTGCAGAATGCAGAATACATAACAAAACAAAACATACAGTTGTTATAACAATATTCAATAATTTTAATATGCAAAAAAATATAAAGTATTTTAAATATTGATAAATTTATTTAAACAAAATTATACATAATTTTATTAATAATAGCATAATACTAAGTAAACTGTAAAAGTGTAAACAGTACAATCACCAAGTAAATTGATAATTTTACTTACACCTCGAATGATATCAAAACGTGTATGATGGTGAATAACTTACGATATACGTAATAACTCGTACATAATGTTCTTTATTTTTTTTTTTTAATTTTGCTGGTTTTTATACGTAGTTTTGTAAATCGTTATTTTTATGTTATTATGATATCAGTGACTATTATTAAAAATATACTTGGTTATTATGCTTGTTAAAATTAATTTATAGGAGGTGTCGTATTATTTGACCCGTCCGAATCCCAACGTGATCGCGCTAAACCGTGTCGGCATCTACGACAGATTAATCAAGGACAAATTCGGTAACCCATACCTAAGGTAAGTATTAACATCATCGCAACGTTTATCCATAATGTTACATAATACTATTTGTGCAACTTTTTATTAACTTTTTCTTTTCTTTTTTTCTTTTTTCAGATTCCTTCTCGACTACAATTTTGATTTTGACGACGATATAACGTTAAGAAACGTAGACTCGTCGGATATATACCAACTTTCTGCGTTCCGTGGGTCAAATTTTAGTACGGTGACTAAGGGGAAGTGAGTGAATTTATATTAAAACCGTCACAAATAAGAAATGTATAAGTATGGCAAAATGAATAGGTACTATGATCGCAGTTTTTTGATACGCACACCCTGTTCAAATATTTCTACGCTTAACGTATTACCTTAGGTCTCCGTTTCTTATTGGCTTGCATATTATTACATATTGGCGAGCATTGCCGATAGTAGTGGAGAACTACGACATAAGTCCAGTATGAAGGGAATCCACATACTGAAAGAAAACGTGACACACTGTGATCATATTACCTACAGGTATTTTGTCATAAATATATGAACTAAATAGACGGCACTTAGGGCAAAATTCGCTCAGAGAACATCTGATAAGCAAGAACCGGTATTTTGGGAAAAATATAAATATTTCTTGTTTTTTTTTTTTTTCTTTGAAAAGAATTAAATTCTGATAAGTAATACGATAGAATTCGTGGTGATAATTCAATGAAAATCATCGAAAAATCATAAACAATTTTTCCGGTTTTCTTCTACAATACCTATCTATTTTTGCTAAATACATTTTGGTTGGTTGTTTTAATCAACAGTTCATGTTTATTTATTATGTCTATGATAAGTATAACTATGTCAGTAATCATCGCACGTCGTCGCAATACGCATCCTTTAACCGAATCGCGTACGGTATCGCTTACATAACATTACGGTTTAAATGCAACGGCGCAGAATAATATGATATTAGACTGTCCGGCTTATTTTGTGGATGTATACGACGTGAAAAAACACTTTCATCCGCCCGCTTAATATTAAATTTAAATAGACAAAATCAGCCACGTTCCGCCGAGACACGGAACACAGGAATCGGCTGTGAATTCAGATATTGCTAACATGAGTACCCATCTTAGCCACCGTGTTTAAGCAAAAAATAATAGCAATAATTATATTGTTATAGATATAAATTAGTTCACAACGGTGAGATGTTGCCGATGACTATCGACCTGATACCAGCTACGATCTATACGCTTACCGTACAACGGAACAAGAATAAAATGGTAAAACAAAAAAAAAAAAAAGAACAAATTATAGGTACTCGCTGTTTGGGCGTGTACCTAATTATTATATTTCTATTCGACTACAAGCGAATTTTATGTGTAAAAAGGAATTTATATAGGATGTGAAATTGTTCGCCATGTACGAAGGCAACTACGTGCACATACTATGGCAGGTACCGCAATATATCTGTATGATCATGGCCGACGTCATTTTCGTTGTAACCTGTTTGGAAATTTCATTCATTGAGGTAAATTATACACAGTATATCGTTTATTTACGATATTTTATTGTATTTATGATTTAACATAGTATTATAGAGATGGACATAATCAACATTTTTTAATTTAATAGAGTTTTGAAATATTTGCCGAAAGGGTAGTGTACGGTTTTCAAAAAATGTATAAGAAATTGATTTGTTGCAACTACGGTAGCCTGCACCAATACCAACATAAAAATAAAATTCATCACTTTCAAATCCGATCATTTTTGTTGATGTCTTAAATAAAAATCTAAAACCTAAAACGTTTAGTCGTTTATAACCTCATAGGCATATTAATATATAAATTGAGCATCCGCCTTTCCCTTCCCTAGGTCGCCTAATACCTACATTATTAAAAGATAGAGCCAATATCTGGGTATACGATAAGACGTAAACTGTATGCTGTTTTTTTTTTTTTTTCATAATTTTGTTAAACTTCTCTTTCTCTTCCATTATATAGGTATAGATTATATTTAAGTTATATACTATATTTCTTTTTGGCAATGTTTATTCACTGACACTCTCTCTCTCTCTCTCTCATTCTCTTTCTACTATGGTAGTACATTTTATATTTCGAGCGTAGCGAGGGAGCTATTGGTTTTACTAAGATGTTTATTTTTTTTTCTTTCTTTTTTCTTTCTTTCGTCTATTCTGTAGACATGTCTTTTACTAGTATACTTGCCCGATTTTCACGTGTAGCAACTTTTCTGAAATATAAATGTGTGTCTATGTGCTACCTTAAAAAGGTCATTTTTCGATTTCGAAAATTTCGCAAATATATAGTACAATATTATGAAATTTTGGGAGGGAACTGTCGGCAATAATGAAATATTGTTCCTAAACATTTTTCTAGCCACTGAAACTCCGTTCATTGGAACACTTACAAAATAATATTATTTTAGTATTATATTGTTGTTATCATTTATTCCATACATAGGCTCCGGTAAATATCAGATCGTTTATATCAGCAGTTAGTTTACTCACAACGGCGCTTGGAAATCTATTGGTCGTCATAATATCGGCTATATCCATTAAAAATCAAGTAATAATAACGATTAATAAAATATCATTACGTTATATATATATATATATTATCTTATCGGCAATTTTTTTTTTCTAATTCAGGCACACGAATATTTTCTCTACTCCGGCCTCATGTTCGTCGACGCGCTTTTATTAGCGTATTTCAGTGTTGTTTATCGAGGTAAGATGACCGAAAAACACGACATTGTGAAGCCGTTGAACAGGAATAACAAAAATGAAGAAACTGCGTTTTAGTAAACAATTATATTTTTTTTTTTTCGGTGATTTATAATTTTGAACGAGACACAATTCAATGAATATAACCGGGAAATTGAATTTCTCGAAATTCGTTTTATGGAATGCGCTTTATGACTGTACTGCACTGTAAACTATTTAATATAAAAACGCCATAATATTTATGAACGAATATTATTGTTTATAAGGAGAATAAATTATGTGATCTTACGTATCTGTAGTGTTGTTTATCGTCTAAAGAGAACTTTTTGTAAAGCCATTTTGCTTGAGGATATTTAACAACGGGGTGATTTACGATAGTGAATTATTCTATTTTGATGCATTGAAAAGGTCAATTTTTGATACATCTTTTAGTCGATAATCCATCTTCTTTTCTTACAATGTGGAAAAACGAGCTTAATTACTTAAAATTTGCGGGTTTCTGTACAATTTCGATATTATTCAAAAACTTTTTACCTAATTTATTATCACACTAATATTAATATTAATCAAGTTCACAATAACTTTACCATTTTCATAATTATTATAATATTTTTTTTAGTTTTACGTGAGTAAAAATATTGTAATTTATTTTCATGTGCGTTTAAAGTTGACTTTATTATTTAATTCATTAAAAAAACGATCAATTAACAAAAACGAATTTTACAGACAAATTAATGTAATTTTCAATTAAAATGTATTTTAAAAATTAAAAACCCGTTTAATCGAACTACGTGACTTAACGCAACTTGTTTCAAAATAGAACCGTGTCCTTAAGTAAAATTTCATCAGAATATAACTAATAGGAAATACTCATGTAAATTATAATACAAGCATTTTATCACAACAGCTTATCACCAGGTGTTAATGATAATTATAATACACACATATAACTACATCGTCATTTGTTTAGAACTATTTGAAGATATCGTATAATTATAATATAGTTAATGACATTATTATTAGTGTTTATGGATACCAAACTTTTCGATTACACCGTGTTAATTTCGTTATGGCAGTCACCTTAATTTTTGAAAATAAAAAGATTACCTACTTTTAATTTTCAAATGGCAAACTCATTAACAATTCTATATTTAGATGAAATATTAGTTTAGATTTAGATATAAATGAAATAACCATCTGTATTCTACCTACCCAATTTCTCGCCTACAACAGAGGCCACTCTCGTCCCCAGTATTGGCTCTTTTTTTTTTTTTTTTGTAATTCAGTTCAAAATATTCGTAGAGACTTGAAACTTGGTCAGAAACTTTTTATAGACAGTAAAATTTTCAACAAATTTGAGCTATTTTTGCTAGTTTTTTATGGTAATATTTATTCGGTACATACTCTTTGGATAAAATTGTTAGACCAAACAGAAATGCTTGAAAATTTAACAGGAGGTTCGTTATAAGTTTTAATTCGTGATCAACAAGAAAAAAATGAGTTTATTGTCTTATTTTTTTTCCATACAATAATTAGAAAATCAAATTTTGAGGAAAATCGTAAATATTATAGCATTATAAAATATGTATAACCGAACACCGCTCAAAATTATTTTTTGTTGGTAATGATTAATCGTTGCATACAAAATTACAGTAAATTCTCTTCTATACCGTACCTTTTCAACTATTCACCTACAATAATAGCCCACCAATTGTGCGAAGTATAACAATTTCTTTTTCAAATAACTTTAGATATAAACGAATTTTTTCTCGACTTTTCACAATACCTAAAACGTCCAATAGTATTATTCTGTATACATGTGATTTTACGATTTTATTTTTCCCCCATAAAACAGTATTCAAATGTCTACACATTAAAAGTCACGTGTTTAAAATTTGATAGAAATCGAGAAATAAAATACTTATTTCTTAATACATTACTGTAAGCGACAATTTTAGAGGCGATTTAGAGATACCTAGTAAACAATTATTTTAAAGTCGTGTTTAAAAAAAAATACTTTTGAATCTGTAAGTGTTAAAAATGTTCAAAGGTGTTTCATAGAGGTTTAAATTTTAAAAACCAAATCGAAACATGCATTTCCGGCATCCGGTTTCGGGGCTCTAGGGCGGAGTAGGAAGGACTTTTTAATACTATTCCCTCACTGTTTTAATCCGTGTCCGTCCAGCCGAAATACATATTTTGTATTTCCATTTGGGTGAAACAACACCGAGGATACATTTTTTTTTTCATCGCAATATGTGTGTATTTGATCGTACTGTAAAAAAAAAAAAAAAAAAAGTCCGGGTCGAAATTTCCGGACGGCGTATAGTAGTGCGGCAGGGAACGCGGCTGACACATCCAACGCCCTCGCAGCCGAACATTATAATATCCGTGGATAAATAATGATCGTGATATTATTATTATTATTATTATAATATTTGTCTCGACCAAGACGATTAATTATTCATCGGGATAAACACGAGCCGAATCCGCTAGATTATAACCTTCTATGGTTATGACGTAAACACGTGCGGACGCTCTCGTTATTGTAGCGCAGAGCCCGGTGAATCGAAAAACACTACATACCTACCTATACACATACAGAATACATAATATATAAAGTGTATAGAGTTTTATGTTACAGTCATTTTCTCCTAGATATATACAAAATAGAGAATAATGTATAATGAAACAAACAAGGTTGTCATTTGAAATTCAAAAGATGACCCCTAATTCCCCCCCCCCCAAAGTGCGTTTATAAATTTCAAACTCACATAAAATTTATATTACACTATTTAATAAAAAAATGTTTCATTATACATTATTCTCTAATTTGTATATTTATACGAGCAATTTGCTTAAAATAAAATTCTGTACACTCGGTATGCCTAAAAAACCATTAGTACAGTTTTTAGTACAGTGACAATTTAAGAAAAATACAACGAAAACGAAATAAGTTACCTGTGACATACGTTGCTTGAAGTACACCTATCCATGACTCTATCCTACTATAGCTTATGTTAAAATAAGTATTTTGTGAAAAATACAAGTCTTTACAATAATTTTTCACCGAAAAACAACAAAAAACCTAAATAGTTTAAAAAGTTTTTTCCCGGTTTTTCATAATTATTAATAAAACTACGTAGAAAAAAAACAAAAAAATTTTTTACTCACAAAAAAGACTCAATCTTTTTTTAGAAAAATTGGTATTCTTGAAATTTGGACAACAATTTTTGAAAGAAAAATATAATCTTTTATACATTTTAAATAATGAAATCGTTGCGCCAAAATTTAAAAAAAAAAACATATTTTTCAACATTTTCGGTATTTCTCCATTATTATGAAAACTATTTTAAACATAAAAAAAATTACTTTCTCTGTCAGTGACTAGCTATTAAATGGAACAAAATCGATCTTTTACCATTTTTCAATTGGAGTAATATTGCTGGTAGAAAATATAAGTTACAAAAATTAAAAACAATAATATGTAAATTTTTAATGCGCATATCATACGACAATTAGCAGTTTTATTTTTTTTTATTGCATAATGCATACGTTTGCACGTAAGTAAGTATTTCGTTAGATTTCAGTGTATTTTAATATTAACAAATATGGGTAAGCAAGTTCCGAACCTCGTTAATAATAATTATGCTAAAATATTTAAATTTAGTTTTAGATTACAAATTTGAGATTTCATAAATGTTTATATTATTCTTACACGTATTTTTCGCATTTTGTAAAATTATTTTATTTATTTATTTACGGCACACGCATGCATTTGTTATAAATAAAAAAACCGCTCATCTGATTATGTGTCATCTACATAAATTAATGAATCCATACATTTTTTTTTTTTTTATTGAAGTTTATAGTTTCACAGTTGTCATTTTGTAATTGTCGTTTAATTATTTTTTTCTTATAAAACTTTAATGTCTCATAAAAAAATACTTTCAATGACATTGCAGGTTGAATTGACTAATCGCTACCATTATCCATGTTACCAAATTACTCATGCCATTTTTTATTGCTTTTACGTGTTTCCATAAACACTCAATAATTTGAAATTATATTTGTATTTGGACACCAGCTGTATGTGAATCATTAAAGTCCTTGTTGTATTGCTTTAAATGATTAACCAAGAAATGCCCAGGAATTTTAAATGGGAGGGAATGTAGTAAATAATAATCATAATTCTGGAAAAAATCGCTAAATCTTCTTTTATTTTAATATGGATCCAAAAAATCCATTTTGTATTCTATAATAATTCAAACTTATCCATATAACTTAAAACTGGAATATATAATTGCATGATAAAATGACTAAATAAATACTCATAGTTGTTGTATTTGCAAAGAAATGGAGGTGTAATATAACCCCTATAGTTCCTCTTTGTGATTAACAATTTAATGAGGAAAATCATGACATTTTTACTGTTTTTAGGTTTGCATAGCTTTTTTAGTTATTAGAGTACGTGTAAGCTTACAGCTAGTTAAACTTACTTAATAGTTACAGTGACTGGTTCTGTTTCTCGCATACTAATTTCTTAAATACCTTATAAAATGTATACAGTAAACGTGTTTAAAATACGTTCAGTATTAATAAATTGACAAGCGGTAAAGAAACTTTATAGAAAGCTGGTAACTTTATCGAATAAATTATATATAAATAGTAAACGCAACACCGGACAAATCGCCGGTTATTACACGACACGTGTACTAAAATTATTATGCTTTACGACATTTTTTTGTTGGATTTGTCGATATTTTTTTATTTTTTCATCGAAATTCATATTTTTTAAATTATACTTTTGCCTTTCTGAGTTTCGCTAGCGCACGTGAATTATATTTTAGGGATGTGTTCACCGTATACGCGGTATCCGCCGGCAAATTGGCGAACGCATATAGAAGTAAAAAAAAAAAAAAAAACGAAAGATTCAAAATGTACGAGATCCGTTTGCCTTGTCTGGGGTCCGTTCCGATTCAATCCATTTCCATTTCCGTACGGTGTTCTACCGACCGTGCCGACGATAATAATACACGTTCTCGTTAACACTCGCAATATCGTATTTTTTTTCTGAACACGTCTTGAAATCCCACTGCCATTCTACCGTATGTACGATCTTCACAACGAGTGCTTATACTTTTGACATCCCCTGTGGCCCTTATCCTGATAACATAACACGCGGTCGTTTCTTTCCGACAAACCCGATAAACAACAACGTAGAAAGATACGGCGTACACGATTTATTTATTTACGGAAGCACTCCACTCGACGGATATGTACACATAAACTCTCGTAAATAAATATTGTA